CCTTAGAGGGCTCACTGGGCAGGCCAGTACTAGTAGAATCTTGAGTTTCCCCTCTGGTTGACCTGGGAGCCTCTTGAAAGTTCTGCCCATAGTATTAGTGCTGGCTTAGGAAGCTTGGCTTTCATGGTATTGTAATGGTGTTGCAATTCCTGGTCTCTGTGGATCAGGCCAACAACAGCAGAGTAGAGTTGATGTGGATTTTGAGGGCGTTATGGGGAGATGACATTTCAGGAAGGAATAATTGATTTAAAACTGTTGCTTTTTTTTTTCAAGGCAGGGGGTATGGCAGGATAGAAAGAAATAATAAGTCATATCTGGCCTAAAATCTATCTTCACATTTTTAATGTGTCACTATCCAAATATATGTACATATATATATATATATATATATGTAACAAAATATATATATGTATAAACATATATGTGTATGTGTATAGTGCTTCATTAAATCTATTTCCACTATGAGTAGAATTTAAATAATTTAAATAAAGAAATTTAGGCTCGGATGTAGCTGGGTAGTAGGGCACTTGCCCTGGGTTCCATCCCAGCATTGCAAAAAATAAGCACAATCCCCACGACAACAATCACAAAAACTAACTAAATAAAAATAAATAACTTTTTTGTATTTCTCATCAGGCCTTAGGTGGAACCTCAGAGATTTGTTCACCTTCTAACAAGAGAAATAATATCTTTAAATTGAGTTTTTGAACTCTTTGGTTTATATCACAGTGTTCTTAACATCATGAGGGAAAAGGTTACCAGGAACATTTACATTTGGAAGATCAGGATAATCTTCAAATACATGTGAAGAAAATAACACCCCCTCCCCTTTATTGCCTCACTCATGTGTCACCAGGAGAAACATCAGTATCGGAAAAAAAGATTGCTGCTGCCTGTGACCACTATACCCACAGAAAAGGAGTGGGAGAGAAAATACCCATGTGATGGACCAAATCATTCCACCCCCTGCCTTGAGCTGCCTTTTCTAGGAGCCAACTTTCCCCCTTGGGTCCTTGGGAGATGCTTAATTTTAATTGACTCAGAAGAGTTCTACTTTGTGTTTTAAAAACCACACAGAAATGGGAAGTAAGTTAAAAGAGTTCCACTCCCTGCCTTCCCATCCCCAACAAATTTTTCACAAACAAATCAAAGGTACATGATTTTAACAACCTTAGAATCTTGGGCTGGCACCATAGGCTCTGTAGGTCACACAGGTTCCTTAGAAGTTAGGTGAACCCTATCTTCACAGAATGGAATTATGCTGCAAACCTAGCCCCATTGAGTAACCCATTGGGGATATTCCTCTAAAGTGGATATTTTCCTCTTTTGTAAATAGTCTCCAAACAATTTGAAATGGTCACACTTGTGGAGAGAACAGAGTATGATGTGGTAGATGCCATTGTTCTGAAAGGCTTCTGCTTTTCAAGGGGATAAGATTCTTTCTCCTTGCTTTCAACAGTGCTTCCCTGTCACTGGGTTCCATTTGTCATTTGCTGCCCTCCACGTCTTTGTGTTTCATAGCCCATGGAATCTTGGCTTCAGAGAAATAAATGGACCCAAGAGAAAGTTGTATTTTAGGAAACAGAATGATGATCACTCACATTTTAAGTTAATAATAAAATCCAAATGTAATTGGCCAGATCCTCCCAGCAGGGAGTGTGTGTAATCCATCCTCAGGCCAATGTGAGGGTTTGGCATTTCTATGGCATGGAGGAGGCCACCCTCATACAGCCAAGGAGGAACCCACTTGGGACTGTGTGGCCAAGAGAAGATTAAACACTGGGAAAGTTCTATGAACAGAGAGGGCTGATGAGCTGTGAAGGTGGAAATAGAATTAAAGGGTTGTTTCTAGAATTTTATGAACTGTGGAAGATGATAGGGCATTCTTTCCTGCCTTAAAAATGCCTCTCAATCCTTTACTCTTCTTGCTACTGCCTTCCCTCCCTTTTCCTTTTCACAGCCAAGATTATAATAGAATGTGTCTTACTGATCCACTTCTTCACCTCCCATTTACTCTCTGATCTACTTCTGCTCAGCTTTTTTTTCCCCTCACAAACTGCTCTCATTAAGATTACCAATGACTTCTTGTTGAAAAAAGCAAAACAACAGAAGATTTACAGTTGTTTTGTTTAACCTCTCACCATCCTTTGACATGCTTTAATTTCTGTGACAATACTCTCTTGTTTTTGTATCTTCTTTCTCTGTTTGTTCCCTTTTAGACTAAGAAGTCTTGCTGCTTCATTCCATAGGGAATCCTTCCATCATCCTCTCTTCTTATTTTACCTATTGCAAGCATTTTCATAGCTTCAAACATAATCCACATGTCAACAATTTCTTAAATCTGTATAAGCAGCTTAGTTTTCTTTCCTTAGCTCCAGACCGTGCTCATCTTTTTTTCCTCTGGAATATTCCAAAGCTAATACAAGTTCAGCATGCCCAACCACCAAGCTTGTTTCTCCTTCTTTCTTTTCTTTTCTTTCCTTCCTTCCTTCCTTCCTTCCTTCCTTCCTTCC